CAGTTATTTTCTTCTTCTTTTATCTCTATAAGCTAGCACTTCTAGTCTTCACACACACACACAAAATTGCTGCTAACCCTTATAACCTGACTTGGGTCCCCAGAACCTACACAGTAGAAAGAGAATTCCTGCACGTTGTTTCCTGACCTCCACACTCTCATGTCATGACATACACACATACCTCTCTCCCTGGAAAAATGTAATAAAATTTTCTTTAAATGCTGATTGAATCTTCAGCTGTGTATGTGTACATGCACACATACACATACATGCGCACGCATGCATACGCACACACACATACGCACGTACATACACACACAGAGAAGCATGAGGGCTTCAGGGGGAAGAAATGGGAGGGCAGGAGGAGGTGAGTTCCCTGTTTGCAGCTTCTTATTACATTATAAAACTAACCCAAGGGCTAAGGGTACATATAGCTCAGTGGTAGAGTGCTTGCCTTAGGTTCACATAAGCGTCAGTTATCAACTGCCCGTGGGCATGTGTGTGGAGAATGCATTTTCCTAATTGCTAATTGATGTAGAAGCCCCCCCCCCCGGCATATCTAGGGGTTGGTGGGTCTGGGCTGTATAAGGAAAATATCTGAGCACGTCAAGGAGGGCAAGCCAGTAAGCAGGACTCTGCTTCAGTTCCTGCCTCCAGGCTCCTGCCTTGCGTTCCTGTTTCCCTTGGTAATGGAACAGGAACCTGTGAGTCAAATAAACCCTTTCTTTCTCAAGTTGCTTTAGGTCAGTGTTTTATCACAGCAACAGGGAAACACGCTAGAACATCAAGCAGGCGTGAAGTTCCACCCCAACCTTGGCTTTAAAAAAGAGCCAAGCCTTTCCGGCGGTGACGACCTCCCTACGAGAACATGCCTCTCGCAAAGGATCTCCTTCATCCCTCACCAGAGGAGGAAAAAAGGAAACACAAGAAAAAGCGCCTGGTGCAGAGCCCCAATTCCTACTTTATGGATGTGAAGTGCCCAGGATGCTATAAAATCACCACGGTGTTTAGCCATGCACAGACGGTAGTCCTGTGTGTCGGCTGCTCCACTGTCCTCTGTCAGCCTACATGCGGGAAAGCAAGACTGGCAGAAGGATGCTCCTTCAGGAGGAAGCAGCACTGAAAAGCACCGGATTCGAGATGAGTGGGAACCATCCCAATAAACACATTTTGGATAAAAAAAAAAAAGAGCCAAAATACAAGAAGTTGCACAAGAATAAGGATTATGATTGACCGGCTTATATATGCCTGAGGATAATGAATAAATGGATAAAGTCCTGGACAGTGCTATAAAATAATAAAAAGAAAAGGGTGATAATTTTTAGGAAAAAGAAAAGGATGATCTAGTTAAATATTTGAACTATAATAGACAATGTAATTCAACATCCGAAAATTACTAGGCTGTGCCCTGCCCTAAGTCACTCCGTATTGTGTAAAACTGGTGTTTCAGGCTACGCCTTCCTCCGGGAGACTCCGTTTCACAAGCAGCTTTTGATCCCGTTTGAGGGCGGAAGATGACTTTTGGCACAAGTGGCCCCATGAACCACACCATCTGTTCAGTTCCACCTTCGCAGCACAGGCTGAGAAAGACTGTCTCGGGCGTCAAGGGCTTCTGACTAGTTCCGTCCCCGCTGTTGACATGACCTACTTAAACCATTGTCTGCTCATCTTCCTGCTTTCCTGTTGGACCTAGGTTTGCCCTTTCACCTCTACAGCTGGACTCAGTCCTGTCACTCAGCTCTCACCCTGTATCCGGACTCCAGATCCTTCCCCAGCATCCCTTACGCCCCACGGCTTTCAGGCTTCTGAAAGCTCCTGAGCCGACTGTGCCTCTGAGCCCTTCCCTGCCATCCTGTGACGCACATGTATACTGACACACACATGCAGATATATTTACTGGGTGTGACTGGAGAGGTAATATTAGCAATTAAGGTTGGAATAAAAGAACACATATTTGCCTTGACCAGGGTTACCAAGGAAAACAGACGTTATCTAACGTGGTGCAGTCAACGAAACAGCCACACTCTGTTTTTACTGAATTTACTGCTGTTGTTGTTTTTTTTTTTAAAGATTTATTTATTTATGCATACAGTATATGCCTACAGGCCAGAAGAGAGCACCCTATCTCATTACAGACGGTTGTGAGCCACCATGTGGTTGTTGGGAATTGAACTCAGGACCTTTGGAAGAGCAACCAGTGTTCTTAACCTCTGAGCCATCCATCTCTCCAGTCTGAATTTATTGTTTGTTATTCAAAAAAAAAATTGACATGTTTCTGACATAGCAAGCTCATGACAAAAACCCAATAACTCTTTGAATAATTTAATAGAACTGACAAGATTTGTTCAGATGATGCCTTTAAAAGTCAATAGTGTTTCTACAAAATGGGCATAATTTATAAATATAATAAAATTCTATCAAAAGAGAACATTTACAAAGAAAATATACAGAGGAAGGAATCGGTCAAAAAAAGAGCAAAGAAAATTATAGTTTAGGGACCAGAGATGTGTCTTAATGTAGTGGCCACCAAACCTGATGGACTGAGTTTGATCCCCAGCACCCACATAATGGAGGGAGAGAGTCCTCTGACCTTCATACGTGCATGCACACACACACATAAATGTCATTTTAAAAGTTTAGGAGTTTAAGGGCTAGAGAGATGGCTCAGCAGTTAAGAGCACTTTCTGTTCTTGCAGAGGACCCGGCACCCACACAGTGGTTCAGTTCCCAGCACCCACACGGTGGTTTACAACCACCTATAACTTCAGTTCTAGAGGATCCAATGATCTCTTTTGACACCAGGCACACACATGCCGCACATACATACATGTAGGCAAAACACTCATACACATAAAACAAATAGATAAAATACTCATCTGTTAATATTTTTTAAAGTAGAGGTATTTAAAGAAAGACTTTAAAGAATGCAAATGAAGAGGTGTACCACATTCATGGATTGTAAGGCTCATCATGATAAAGAAGCCAGCTCTACCCAAACTGATACACAAATCCACCTTAATGCTCTCCAAAAGTTCTAATAGCTTTTACTCTTGGTGTTTGTTTGCTATTGATAGCCTGATTCTACGATGTAGATGGAGGTACCATTCCCGGACAGCTCAGCCGTTACCAAGGAAACAAGATAAAGAGATTTGCGTAAAGCAGCAAGGCCACAGCGTGAAGACACTGTGGATCAGTGAGGCAGACTGACACATACAGGGACAGGCCTGTGTATGTAGGCATAGACCATGCAGTAGGGGTGACCACACGCATGGGGAGGATTCCCCAGAGGGGTCTGTTGGGAATTGATTTGATCTTGTCTCATGCTAACGATGACCCAACTCCAGGAGATGCATTGCTAGCAGACACTCCTGGGTTATTGTTATGATCTCGAGTCCTTCATTAACAAACTAAAAAAGTCACCAAATTTAGAGATGCTGATTAGATCGATTGTATTACAGTTAAGATCGTTTTACATAAAAAAATAAAAATACCACAAAGGAGGGAAAAGACAGGTTATAGGGTAGGAAGCAATATTTGCGGCAAAAAAAAAAAAAAAGGATAAAAGGGGAGTCTCTAACAGAAACCATGACAAGTAAGAGAAAATGGGAACCATGATTTTTTCAGACAGGGGACCAAAGATGTGAGCCAGAACTTTCCAGAAAAGAAAACTGAAGGGGTTGCTAAATATGTGACAACAGCTAATTTCGATTTCACTATCAAGTGGGATTATGCAAGAAGCCTACTAAGGCTTGACAAGAGGCAAGAGCAGCAGGGGCCAGGGGTACCTAGAGCAACAGCTGTCTGGGGGTGTTCAGCCAGAGTGGGAATCAGCACAGTCTACACCTGCAATGGGGTGAAGTAGGGTGAAGCATCCTCCAGATTTATGTCCACCTGGATACTTTCTTGTTTGGGACTAGACTCTCTGCTAATGTCATCTCTGAATGAGGTCATACTAAAGTGTGGGTGGGAGTTGAGCCCAAGGATTGCTGTCCTTATCAGAGGGAATTCTAGGCAGACCCATGGAAGACAAATGCCTGTGTGAAGACTGACACGGGAGTGATGTGGTCACCAGAGATCACTGGTGGACACTAGGAACTGTAGGAGGGGAGCTCTCCCCGAGACACCTCAGAAGTATGGCCTCGCTGACCAGGCTGTTAGAGATAAACTTCCCTGTTTAGCTCCCAGTGTGTGGTTCACTGTTAGAGACACTCTACGGCTTGTCAGAGCTATTGTTTCTGTTGACATTTCTCCACAGAAAGAGGTCTCTAGGTGTGCAGCCCTATGGTTCCTAGAGACACGCTTACAGAGCTGCCCACACAGGGTAGCCAGGCATAGGCATGGGAGCTGGTGTGGATGTTCTTCCCACCCAGAGCCTCCACAGGCAACACACACCTGTGTCCAGCACGTGCCAAGCAGCCGCCGCATGTCACATTTACCATCCTTGGCATTAGGGTACAGTTGTAGAGGTGGCAGTGAGAGCCTATCCTCCAAACCTCCCGCCCAGGGACACAGAGAGCAAGCAGGCAAGGAGAGCTATAGATAGGACCAGGTAGCTGGGGGGCAGTAGAAGAGACAGACTAACTAGATCGAGGGATACACCATGGGGCATGAGTATACTTTAACGGACAAAGGTGGGGGCCTGGCCCAACACTCTCTGAGCCGATGCCAGGTAACAGGTAGCATGTGACGCCCTGGGTGTAGACACAGCCCGTATCACAAAGGTGTCAGCTCCATCCATCAGAATCTTTACGACATTGTGAGCAATAGCCCAGCAATCCCTCCACTTTGCCACATGATGCTGTTTGAACACTATAACCTACCCCCAGATCCCTGCTCCCCCTAAGAGGAAGCAAGTACTACTGAGGGGATCCCATTGGGATTGTTGCAACAGGACCCCACTATGCTGTTCACCTCGCTCAGAAACCCTAGTGCCTGAACAGGTCATTGCCCGTGTGCCCCACCCCCCTCCCCTTGCTTGTGAGTTCAGACTGAAGATTGTCTCAGGGCATACCCTTCATCCAGCCCTGTGTCCTGCTCTGGAGACTGCAGCTCGAAGGTCTTCTTCGAGGATTGGGATGGAGCCAGAACTCCTCAAATATGATGGGACAAAAAGGCACAAGCTCCCCATGGTTACTGGAGGCTCTGGGTGGTGGAGACCGGGGCCTTTCCATGGGTTTCGTATTCTGCAGCACCAGGGAAAGGTGCTGTACGCTTGTTAAATTTGGATCTGAGTGTTTGGTGGACTGAGTTCTGGTAAAAGTGCTTTTGGGGGTCTTACTGTCTCCATGTTCGTAGTTACTAACCGGGAAGGCATACGCAGGCTTTGCTCGAACTCTGCGCTCAGCAGCTGTTACTGGTACAGACCCGGTAGCCGAAAGTACCTTCGCTTCTTCCCGTTTCCAGTCCTGCCGCAGGGCCATTCGGGAGGGCCCCGTAGCTGGATCTGGTAGGGCCCGGGGGCTCCGCACTTTGAGTGGAGTGTCTAAGAGCGATTCCGAGAAGCTGAGGTTGGTAATGGGAGGCATTGGCTTCTTGGCTTTCTTCATACTGATCCCTTCCACACAGAGGTCAGAACCATTGAACGGCGGCAGCTCCACGGCAGGCTGTGAGAAGAGGTGGAGACTGTCAGGATCCCTGACTCAGAGAGTTGCCTGGCTGGCCCCATGCCAAGCCACCTGCCATGCCTCCGAAGCTTTGTCTGTGCTTCTTCAAGGCTCCGGTACTCACTGGGCTCTTCTTTCAGGCAGAGCCCAGCTTCCTTTCCTCCAGGTCCTGGGACTCAACCCTCAGGAGTCCAGGGGCAAAAGCCTCAGCACTGACGCGTAACCTCCTAGATCATCCCTGAGGAGAAGCCACTAGAGAGATTTCAGAAAGAGGATAAGGGGCTCTGGAGAGAAACGGTCTAGAAGGGGCTGTGGAGCCTCCCTAGCTATCCAGGCAAGGGCCTCTCCCATTACCCATATAGTTGGAACATGGAGAAATGACAGGTAGGAAGATTAGACTGTGAAGGCCACAGGGCCTAAATGACAGGGCTGTCTAGATGCTGCATCTAGAATAAACATTTGGCTTGATGCACACAGGAGGCTGAGCTTGGAGTAGATCAGGCAGACCCAGGCTCCTGACAGTCCTGCGTGCAGTCAGGACCCCAAAAAACATCAGGATTTGTGTCCTCAACTGACTGGGACTGAGGTGGCTGCCACACAGAAGCCCAGGCCCACCCACTTCGTGGACATACACTAGCAGCCAAGTAAGCTCCTATCCTTACCTGCCTCCACAGAAGCTCAAAGTTGCCAATGTCACAGTTTCGGTCCAGTTTGCGGTCCACCACAACCTTGATGGTGTCTTCCTGCACCTGGGCGCAGAGCTGGGCTGTGACGGGAGTGGAGGGGTGCATGGTAGGGCTGGAGTTGATCTCAATGAGCCAAGGCTTGAAGTCTCGCCCCAGGATGAAGTCGGCTCCGTAGAGCTCAAAGCTGTTCTTACGGGCTTCTACGTGGTCCTGGGCCACCCGCATGGCATTGGTGACTGCTTTCTTCATAGATGGGTAGATGATGGTGCCCCAGGTCCCCCCTCGGCCCCTCTTCTGCAGGTACTCCTGGAAGCGGGTGCTGGTCCACATGTTATGGCCAGGTAGCAGCGGGCTGCGCTCCTTGTCATTCTTGAGACGCCTCTGAATGGAGTTGTTACACAGGTGGATGGCACTGTGGGCAAGTGGGCACAAGTGCTTGTGAGACTGGAGTATGCCAACAACCATTCTACGGGGCCAGCGCTGTCTGCCCAGCTTGTGAGATTGCAGTATGCCAACAACCATTCTACAGGGCCAGCGCTGTCTGCCCAGCTTGTCCCGAAGTCACCTTCCCTGGTGCATGGCTGTTGCAGAAGACTTGGGGTAGGGGTTGGACTGCTAGTTCTGCTACCCCAGCAGCAGCCATGGACCCCCCTCATCCAGCCTGAGGGAACAGCACAGACTGTACCAAGATATAGCAGAAGCCCGCCAATGCAGAGCCAGCCAACCACGAGGAAAAGTAACCTGCCCAGGCCCCAGTTTCCCCACACATACATCAGTAGGAACAAGTGAGTCCCTACCTAAAGTTCCCAGTGAGTTAGTTTATACTCCAGTCTTGCTCTCTGCAGACTTAAAGCAAGCAGCACCTTTTAGAAGACTGGAAGACATTGTTTGGGGCTAAGGGTATTTTCGTTTGAACTGCAGGTATGGGGCAGACATGTCACCCTGGGAATTTCTATCCAGTTCTAGAGTTAGGCCTGCCTCACAGCCACATGCAAGAAAGGTGAACATTTAAAAGATACAGCCCACCCCCATCTACTTCTTCAGCTTCTGTTTGTATAGCTGGGCTATCCCCATTCAGACACCATCTCTGGGAATCTTGCATCAGCCTGAGCTGAAGAAGGGTGCATAATATTGCCAAGCACAGAGTTGATGGCTCAGCTGAGCCCATGCAAAGAGGCTGCATGCAGCTCCCAGACTTCATTTTCAGTGAGTTTCTAGACTCTGCTATAGGCTCTTGTCCAGAGGCAACACACAGACAGGGGTGGTTGCCTTCAACTATGCCCAGCCTCATCCCAACTGTGGCCTAACATGTGTGATTCCAAGGGCGCTGGAGGAAGAGTTCACTGGGCAAAGTTTCTATTGGGCAACCCTCAGCCTCCCATCTGACTCTCCCTTTCAAAGTCCCCTAGGGCATCCAGGCCCCCAACACTGCCTGCCAATTGACAATCACTAAACCACTGAAAGTCCTGGGTCATCCCTGAGGATTCAGGCAGGTTCTCACTATGAACTGGAATGTGGTTTGTCCATCACAGGCACCCTGAGTATTTGAACCTGGCAGCCCTAATTCCCTGATGCTTTGGCAGTGATGAGCAACCTTGGGGGCCCTGAGTGGCAAACAACCGGGGTCCCTCATCTACACATACCCAAGGGTCTCCTGCTAGGTACGTAGAGGAATGCGGAGCTCCCCCTGCTGACCTGTCCAGCTTGTCCAGGGAGAAGCGTTGTGTGGAGAAACGGAGGTAGCTCTCCTTGTAGAACCAGATGGTTAGGGGGTTCCAGTCTGTGACGAGGAACCACTGTCTGATGTCAAACTTGGTATCGTAGATGAGCATCGGAGTCTCGATGTACTTCTGAACTACCCATTTGTTGTCCTTCGTGGTCTGGCTGTCGGTGGCCACCAGCTCCAAGATGTTCTCTACACGGTCCATGCACACAATATCTCCAAGAACAAAGGTCACACCTTGGCCCAGTGAAGCACAGCCTCCCACCCCCATAGTTATAATAAGCCTCAATAGCCACCCTGGCTTTGCAGGGATGGATGGGTGTGCATTCAGTGGACAAAGCTACAGTTGGTGCCAGCCACTTGTTCAGCCTCCCACCATGGGGCCAACCCCACTCCCCAGAGGGCATTCAGAGATTAAAGGAAAAACAGTGCAGAAAGCCACGCAAGAGCACGCTTTAGGGTCTGGTATGTCCTCGGAGCAGGGCCTCTGGAGACCAGGGAGGGTTAGAGCTAAAGGAGTGAGCTGCCAAATGAGATAAGCTGGGCACAGGTAGGAGGCATTTAATTTCCCCCCACTGGCTTTCTTTACTCAGAGGACAATTTCCCCGCCTTGGACCCTAAAGTAGGTCACATGACTTGTGGCACATACAGGAAGGAGTGATGTGTGTCACTGTGAGCGGTGTAGGGTAACAGACCCCGCAGCTCTCTTTTCTCTGCCATGATAGTGTAGGATGGGAACAAGGCCACAAGATGGGCAGAGTACCCGTGACCAGGTCAAGGGACACAAGTTTCTGTTGAAAGTTGGGGGCCAGTTACACAGCACCATCTGGTCATCGATTCTGTTGATAAAGGGTAGAGGGCCTTCCAGTACAGGTTAAGTTCTCACAAAGCACATGGCTTCCATTTATTTGGCCACAGTAAGTTGAGATCTTGCCTAAAATGAAACAAACAGCTGAGGTAACTTTGGACCGCTAACCAATGGCCACCAGCAGTTGGCAAGAGCATATGCAGTGACCAGCAGAGAGAAGGGCATTGATTGAGAAGAGCGTATCTGAACAGCCCACAAAGGATCTCTGGGGATGGAGTCTTCGGTGGGAAGAAGGTGTGGCTCGACGGGTGAGAGGAGACAGATTTCTTAGGAAGGGAAGGAGGCTTAGCACAAAGCCCAAGAAGGGACACAGCACATGCTGCCAACCAAGGTCACATCACAGGAGAATGGAGGAAGAACTGACCATCTGCAGGATGCCAGAAGGGAATGGACCACATACACCCAAGAGAATGGAGGAAGATCTGACCATCTGCAGGACTCCAGAAGGGAATGGACCACATAAACCCAGAAAAGAGAATTAAGAACAGAAGACCTTTAGGCTTATATGTGATTAATAACATTAATAAAAAATTAAAGATCACATATATAGGGCTGGAGAGATGGCTTGACAATTAAAAGTACTTGTTGCTCTTATAGAGGACCTGGGTTCGGTTCCAAACACTCACATGGGGCTCATGCCCACCCAATAACTCCAAGGATTCTGACAACTTCTGGCCTCCACAGGCACCAGGCACACACATGCTGCAATACATACATGCAAGAAAAACACTCATACACATAAAATAAATAAATCTAATTTTTTAAAAAATCACATAATCTATAAATTAAAAAATTTCAGAAGAGCTCAAGAGACCAACAGGATAGACAAACTAAAAAGCCTGTTTAAACACTACAGAGAAATAGGCTGTTCTGTAACAGGGACAAAAGGATGCAGCTAATGCCAGCAACCAAGGATATTTTGTAGCCTTAAATTTTTTCTTATTTCACAGGAAAGCCTGGAAATAAACCAACTTAGTATTTAAATCAGAGAGAAGAGAAAATCTCTCATAGGAAAACTTAAACCGTTGACTTTGGAAACACAAGATCAGGAAATTACACACCTGCATGTGTGCACATGAACATGCACACACCATCACACATGTGCATACACACACATGCACACGCATGCACACACACAGCATTAAGAAAGAAGGGAAGGTAATGCTGACTGCAATTTGGGCAGATGAGGCAGAAAGTGTGAAGGGGGGTGAATAACCCACAGGCGAATTTTATGAGGGGTTTGGAATTTGCCTCTGATGGTTCTAGATTTACAGTGGATCCATGGAATGGGAAGTACACTGCTTGAGATGAAGGTCCTCCACCCTTCTTAGAGACCAGAATAAGCCAATTGCTAAGATCAAGGTAACACACACACAGAACAAAACACCCCAAAATAACACTCTGTGGTTGTTTAGTGGATGGACACAAATGAGGAAATCTGAGCTAAATCAGCAGACTCCAGAGCAGCACTGACAGACACCTTCTCCTCCAGCGCAGCTTGGGCACCCCTGTCCGGCCTCAGCAGCACTGCTTGAACCCTTTCTCTGTCACAGAGCATCTGCCCAGTGAACTCACCTCGACCTCGGGACTTTGCTGCGGGCTTTATGATCCAGATGTTCCGAATCCCGTCGATCTCTGTCTGAGGGTTCACAGAACTGATCTTACTCAACAGAGTCTGGCATTGTGAAAAGTAACTTCTCGAATCAAGGATGAAAGCATTGCCACTAAAAAGCAAGATCCAGAAAGGGCATGAGGGGCTGAGAGGCAGCGTTCAGCCCCAGTGATTGGTGGGTGCCTCTGCTCTAGGACAGGTGAATGGCTGTCTGGTAAGAAAGGGTTAGGGGCAGCAGGACGTCTACCAACTGAGGAGATCTGGAGTGGACCTTAGAGGGAGTACCTGGACAGGGTGTATCAAGAAGTAATGACCTTAACTAGGCATGGTGGTGCATGCATCAAACCCCAGTACTTAGGCAGAGGCAGGAAGACCTTTGTGAGTTCTAGACCTTCATGGTTTATATAGCAAGTTCAAGGATAAGCAAGGTTACATAATAGAGTCCCTGTCTCAAAAAAGGAAGGAAAGAGAGAGAGAGAGAGAGAGAGAGAACCAAAGACCCTGATACACGGATCTGGATTGCCTATACAGACAAGAACACCAATCCTGTACCAAAGGGAAACCAGAGATGGATCCCTGTGCCAAGACACTGCCTGCACTGCTGTTGCCAGAAAGATCCTTATAGAGGAAGCCAAACTGCAATGCAGACTTACCTGCCCCACAGTAGCAGCCAGGATATTGTCCTGTGACCTGGACTATCAACCTGACCCCAGGTCCTTGTTGGTGACTTCAGACTTGTAGGGAAAGGCCTAACTTAGAAAGCCGCCATAATCTCAGGGTCTAAGGACAGGGATCAAGAGAGATGTTCTGAGCAGTTTTCAGAATTTGAGGGTACACTACAGGCAGCTGGGAGAGAGACATCCACAACAACACACACAGCCCCTCTCGGGTTTTGTGGGAGTCTCCTTATGTGGGCAGATGCAGTACAATGGGGATTGTTCAGTGCAGACTCCCTGCACACAATTCTGCTGCAGCACCAGAGGTGGGATCAAGGGCTTGGGGACAGGAGACATGTGTGTTCTGTCCACCTGCTGGGAAAGGAGGGCAGCGTTTAGGAAAACGTGCATGATGGCTATCCCTGCTATGTGGGCTGGAGTTCTAACTATTGCCAGTTTCCACCCCTGGGTGCAGGAAACAGGTTGGCATGTAAGTGATCTTTCCCTTACTGGCCAGTTACCAAGCAGATGTGGTCTTCCTCCACAGATGTTCCACGCTGATCAATTCCACAGTGATAGGACAGCTCTGCCAGAATCAGTACAATGCAAACAGGTACAGACAGCCCCCAGGGTCCTCATAACATTGTCTGATCCAGGAAGATGGGCCCAGCTAGTACAATGACTAAAGCAATATCAGCAAGAGCCGGACAGCATGGACGCTTTCACCACTGTGGCTCAGGAAGACAAGCGTCTTGCCATCCAGTGGGAAGGAACTGCCTATGATCTCTGCAGGACATCGGAGCCTGGGCTCTGGAAGTCACCCCTGAAGGTGGGCCAGCACTGGACTCATGTGTCACCATGCCATTATGCCTCTGTCATGTAACAAGAGGATGGAAACTGTGAAAGTTAGGAGATATAGCCGAAAACAGAGCAGGAACCTGGTCTGTTTCAACAAACGCTCAGATTCTGGACATGTCCACGCCCACCAAAGAACAGACAGAGTTCCTGCAGGTCCCAGGAAGCGTAGCCTCTTGGCCTTCTGGGTCCCGACACAGGAACACCCATGTGGGAAACTGCCAGTCTCAACAAGGATGAACCCCCCGCCCACACCCCACACCCCGAGGCTCTCAGCGGGCTGTGAGGCATCTAAGGGTAGAGTCACAGCAAAGCAGCCGAGAACCTGCTCTCCTGACAGGGTCACTTCACACCACATTGGAACCCAATGCTGCCACCCAGTGGTGAAGCCTCGGGTTCTCCTTCGTAGAGGTTTAAGAAAAACATGGCTGAGTATAGAAAGTCCTCACAGAGAAAGCAGGTTTGCTGTTTTTTGCTAGGGTGTACTCTTGTGTTTTTATCGCCAGCTCAAAGGACACACAGCATGGGCTGCTCAGAAAGTTCTCCAGGTTTACGTCCCAGTCGACGGGAGCTCTTCATTACTGTCACTTTCTACCACAGGGGCAGGCTCTGCCTCTCTAGAATGTCACACTCGTGGTTCGGAACACGGGGACCTACACAGCCTCACAGCTGGGAGATGGGTCCCTGCTCTGACACGACTCGGGGCGGTCAGGTCTGGGCTCCCTGCATCTTTCCGAGGCTGGGTGCTTCCATTTCTCCAGGGATGGAAGAGCTGGGTCATAGGGCATACAGTTCTTGCTTTTCCACCAGCATTGCACTAGAGCTGTGGACTTAGGCCAGCACTTGGTGTCCTGGTGTGCATAGGATCAATCCTGGGTGTTTTTTGTTGTTGTTTCTTTTTCTTTTTTTTCAGCTTTTGAGACAGTCTCATTTATAGCACAGGCTAGCTTTGAGTTCAAGATCCTTCGGGGGTGATAGGAGCTACCTCCAACGGTTCACTGTAGTTCTGATAAGCTCTGATACGGGGCACTTATCTAGTCTGATTAGACAGCTGAGTTTGTCTTTCATCAAGTATCTGTTCCATTTTTTTTTCTTCTCTTGAGACAGGGTCTCCTGTAGCCCAGTAGCTATGAACTTGCTGTGAACCTGAGAATGACCTTGAACTTCTGATCCCCTGGCTACTACCCCGAGTGCTTGGGGTTATAGGCACTAGCCACAGCATTCAGCTTATGTGGTGCTGGAGATGGAGCTCGGAGCTTCACATATGACACAGAAGCATTCTACCAACTGAGCATTTCATTTGGTTAACTTCTTTTCTCTGATTGTAGTTCCCTCTGTAGCTTCTGAATTTGAATGTCCGTCAGGTGTGCAGACAGTGGATCTGTCTCTAGTTTGTAGCTTCTATTTTCACCTTCTTTACAATGCTTTTTGAGAAACACAGTTCGGAAGCCAATGCACAACAGTTTTTAAATCAATGTTCCCCTGTTAATTACTAGTGGTGAATAAGTGCAAAGATACAGCCAACTTGATCAGGAAGGAACTATGTCTGGAACAACTCATGCAAGGGAGAATGAGGACAACTCCTGAGAGGGAGAGTAAACAGAGCATGCTCCTCATTGATGGATTAGATCATGAACATGTGTTTTAAAGCAGTGCACTAGTGTTAGATAGATAGACAAACAGTACACGGAACATAGCCAGGAACAGACAAGCCTATCAGGAGGACTCCCAGGTAAGAGACCCACGGGACACAGCATAACACACACACTTGGAGTCCCAGGAAGGGAAAAGAGAAGGAAGCAGAAGCAACAGATGTAGAAGTAATGATGAGAGTCTGAATTTGAGGGGAAAGTGTCAACCCCTGGTTCAAAGACGCCACACAAACTCTAACAAGGATAATTTCAAAGAAAAGCACTCCTACAAACATAATAAGAAAACTACTAAAACCAGAGACAATCTTAAGGCAGCTGGAGAAAAAGATACGACTTCTTTTCAAAAGAGGGAAGACACCGGCAGGAAATTCCTGATCAAAATGGCATGAGTTAGAAGACAGAATAGCATCCAAACATCAGAGTATCTTTGCAAATTGAGAACTCTATTCTGGAGAAAAATCTCTCAAAAAATGAAAAATGTTCATCTTTTGAGATTAAAAAATGGAGAAAGTTTACCACCTCTTGCCTTTACAAGAAAATATATTAAGAGATGTTTTTATGAACAAAAATGGCTGATATACAAAAACATGTAACTGACTGTTCAAAGCAACAGCAAGCATGTCACAGGCTTTTTAAATGAAGATAGAGGATGAGAGTTGGCTCAGGGATTAAGAGCATTTACTGTTCTTGCAGAGAACCCAGAGTTAGCTCCTAGCACCCACATCAGGCTCACAGTCACCTGTAACTTCAGGTCCCGGGACTCTGTGGGCACCTGATGCATCCAAATGCACACTCATTTAGGTACACATGCATACACATAAATAAAAAATAAATAAAACAAAGATAGACAGAAAGGAATGACAAGAGTGTCTGGAATAGGAGGAAGTACATCACGCTACACTGTCATAACTGATTTGGGAAATATATATATATATATGTATATATATATACACACATATATATATATATATATAGAGAGAGAGAGAGAGAGAGAGCGCTAATTGAAGATGAGTAATAAAACATAAAGGAGGGTTTGGGAATAGTGGCTAGACCCTGTCTCAAAACAAAAACGAAACAAAAAACAAAACTATATTGTAACTTTTAGGATTGTCCTAAAAAATCAAGAGTCTTGCTATATATACCCCATGCTGGCCCAAGACTCAGTGCATAGTCCAGTCTGGCCCTGATTTCAAGCCCTTCCTGCCTCAGTCTCCTGAGTGCTGGGATTACAGGCATAAGTCCACAGAAGAGAGCGTGGAAAGCAGAGGAGAGGAGGGGAAGGGAGAGGTGAGGACAGCGGAGAAGAGAAGGAGAATGCTTAGTAACCAAATGGAAGGAGGGGTCAAAGGGTGAAAACACCCATGATAGTATGTGGGGGTTATCATGTTCCCCTGAAACAAGCATTGCCTCCCTGATTTTGTCCTCGTAGGGTATCTGGGCTTCTTTCAACCTCTGTTTTGTTCCTGGTGGTGACCACAGAGGGTGTGAGGCTGAGGAATGTAGGGAAGTAGCATTATTATGAGGGCCTTGGCAGTGAGGAATGACCAGCATCCTGACGGACTGAAGGCCTGGGATGCACCTCAGCCTGCCAACACTCATCAGAGCCTGCCAAGGCCCTGAGCAGTACAAACTTACCGGGGCTATTGTGGGTCCAAGAGGGGGGGGTCAAGCATGATAGGAGCTGGGAAGGTACAGAATGAGACATGGTCCCCAAAAGACACTCATAGGTGGTATCATATTTGTAAACAAATACCAGAAAGTTTTGGTACCCCAATAGCCAATAGGCACCTATGATACCCAAGGCAGGTTCTCCAACATCAGACTATTCCAAGAATTCAGGAGGCATCCCAACCTCAGACACAGGTACTTATCTACTCAGAGGTAGATAAGCACCCCGATACCTACACAGATGCCCAGACATGTGACAAACATCCCGACATCAAGGCACGTGCCCTCAACACCCAGAGAGGTGCTCCAGCACCCAGACATGCATCCCAGTGTGTGCACGGCGACACCTCTGGTGTCAAGGCGGTGGGGTGTCATCTTACTGAACCAATAAGTAGTATTGCTTTGTCAAGTCGTTCCATTCTTCCTCAGTCAAGGCTTCCGTGCTGGTCTCCGTTGCATCAATGTCCTCGTGCTCCAGCTGTCCCAGGTAGGCCTGGCACACCTTGCATGCCGTGTCCACAAGCTGTCCGGAGAGGCCTTGCGACTTGTGGTCATTATTATCTGAATCTGGAATTCAAGCCCATGCACTGAGTGTGAGCTCCACCCAGGGCACGGAGGCTGCCCTCCCGTTCCTACCACCTCTCCCCTGGGGGAGGAGGGTGATTCCTCCCCTTCACCAGTCTTGTCAACCTCACGGTTCAGCATCACTGCTGCCACCAGGAGCTCACGCTCTGAAACTAGACTTGGAGGGCATGACAGGGAGGGGATCGCACTTTTGAATCGTCACAAAAAGCATGACCAGACCTGTGCTGCTGACACCTGTGAGCACTTTGAGCTGCTATGATTACTAATTCCTACTGCCCACAGAATTTCCTGTACCACATACACGGGGGGTGTTGGTGGGCCCTGGCACCTGGACCCTGCCTTACACAGCATCTCACCCCTTTTCAACCCCATGATTCAGGCAGGACCACTGTTGAATCCCAGGAAGTACAGACTGAAAGTGGACTGAAAGTGGACTTCCTGGTAGCTGTAGGTTACCCAGGGAGGTAGCAGGTCTACAGCATAGACGGGGAATGGCTAGGGGCTTCAGGCACAGTGTTGGTAGAGACATGGCACTGAGGAGTGTTGTGATGGGCACAGGAGGCTCACTGAGCATGCTGCAAAGCCAGAGCAGGAAGCTTATGGGGCAGTTTCAGACTACAAGGGGCCTGTGAAACTCAGAGAACATAAACGAACCATTTAAAAGTGAATGTGGGGTGTAAATGTCACTACTCTTCTAAGTAAAAAGTTGAGCTAAACAATGAACAGCTAGTTCTTGATCTTCCAAAGAAGAGAGGTCAAAGACAAAACCAATGTCCCAAAAATTAGAGAGAGAGAGAGAGAGAGAGAGAGAGAGAGAGAGATATTGGGGAATATTATTTTAAGATGTGTGACTTATGTTTATACTGCATTTGTTTAACTCTGTGAAGCTGTGATTCTTTGCCTGTCTAAAAAACAAAAACCTGATGATCCTAATAAAGAGCTGAATGGCCAGTAACAAGGCAGGACAAGGATAGGAGAGACTGGCAGGCAGAGTGGATAACTAGGAGAAATGAGGAAGAGAAGGAGCCAGAGAAGGAGGAGGACATCAGGGGCCAACCATTCAGCTCGCTACACAGAAAGTAAGATTTACACAAGAGAATGGGAAACAACCAGAGGTAGACGGAATAATATAAGTTAAGAAAGCTGACGTTTATAACTAAGAATAAGCCTCTGTATGATTTATTTGGTATATGGATGGCAGACTCCCCCCCACCAAAAAAAAAGCCAAAAGAGTAAAACATCATATAACAGAGAGAGATAAGGAGAATCATGGCTAATTGGAATGCTAACCTTCATGGGATGAATGAGAATAGGAAACCGGGCTGTGGGGATGAAGCCACATGCCATAAAATGTGGAAAAGGAGATGAGGAAACATTGGGGAGAGGGGGAGAGGAAGAAAGAGGGAGAGAGAGAGAGAGACAGAGACAGAGAAAACAGTACCAACTATGGCAGCTGTCAATCAATAATCACCTTCAACACCGATGGCCTACACATACCAATAAAAGATGACCAGAGTAGATTAAAAACTACCTTAGATTAAAAGTAAAGAGACAGGAGAAAATATACCATGCTAACATCAATCAAAAGAAAAGTCAAAAATCTGTGTTATCAGGCAAAGCAGACTACAGAGCAAGGGAAATGATCAGGGGTAAAAGGAGCTTTGTACAGTGAAAGAGTCAATTCTCCAGAAAGACGTAACAATAATTAATCTACATGTACCTAACAACAGACCTTCAGTGCAGCAAATACTGACACAGCTCAAAGGACAATTGAAATATACCCACGATCATAGAAAGAGACATCAATACCTCCGTATCCAGATGGGCCCATGGCTCAGGCCTGCCATCTCAGCTATTCCAGAGGTTGAGGAACACTGACCACACGTTAAGGCTTGGCTAGTTACAGAGTGACTAACCAAGACTCTCAAAATTTAATGAGGACTGGGCTATGAGCTGAGCATTTAAAATTAGTATAAGCCTCAGAGTGGTTATTTGGAAGTGGCTGCTGGGAAAGGAAAACTCTGCTTACATATGGTGCCCAAAATGGGGCTCCAGATGTTGCAAAATTTCTTTACTGTTTAATAACAAACAAAATCTGGGCAAAAATATTAAAGAACAAAAAGGAGCCGGAACCAAATCACAAGCCACCACTAACACCCATAGTCACTTGCCCCTTGCTTGAAAAGGCCCACACTCTCCTCTGTTCTGCCTTTTTTCTCAGTCACAGCCGTCCCCAATGAAAACCCCGCCTCTTAGACCTAAATGCTCCTCTCAATTGGCTAGCAGACCGGTGAAAGAATTCCCATAAACAACTTGTGCATAGAGGTCTATAGCAGTTTGATCCATGATAAAAGTCTGTTAGTGGGCGAATGGATATATAACCCAGCACATATGGACAGTGAACTGCTCAACCCTGATCATAAAGGTTCAAGCATGAAAAACTTCAAAGCCTGCTGCTAAGTGAATGAAACCATTGTCAACAGGTTGCATACTGTAGGTCCCCATTGTAGACATCCTGAAAAAGGAAGAACCACAGAGGCAGGAGAGAGGGCCAGGAGCTGCAGGAATTACCTCAGCCAAGCATATGCAGCCAGGGGCCCTTCGTCACCGGTCTTGACAAAAATAGCCTCCACTACAGCCTGAAGCTTCCTTACTCACAAATCACTTTTTAACACATCCTTTAAATGTTTTAACATGCCAAAGTTTACTTTCCAACAGTTTTAATAAACGTACTGCTGGCATGGGGACATTGACAGTGGGGTGCCTAGGGACCCAGGGTGGATAGGAAACCAATGTACCTTCTGCCAATTTTGCTGTTAGCCTGAATCTGTTCTAAAAAAACAAACTATTGAAGCAGACTACAAAAAACTATTAAGCCAGGTCGCTGCTTGTGCGTCCACCTCACACAGAACTGCCACTACTGGGGTCCTCTTCCAGGGGCCATATGGAGGGTCACAGCAGTGACCATTGGTTAGGAATCACACCCAGGGGACAGGATCTAGTATGATCATGAAATAAGGGTGCCCGGTGCTGATACGTTGTGAAAATAGGATGACTGATGTCTCAGCATACAGTCAAAACGAGAACAGGGTGGCCATGAGAATCAGAGCTGAACCAGAAGCACCGGTGTCTCTTCTCCATGCTCGTGTGACCACCAAAGCAGCAATGCCCAACCTGTCCATCGGCCATAGAGACTCTGCCTCGCCAGCTAAAGACCTGTGCTGTTGACCAGACACCCCACCCCGCTAAGGCACAGAAGCCCGGCCCCATAGGCGTGTACCTTTCTTGGGGCTGGGGTCACCATTCTTGGCCTCCTCCTTCTTACTCTTGGCCTTGATTTTGCTGCAGTAATTCTGGTGGTTGACTACCCACTTGAGGATGCTGGAAGCCACTGTGCGCCGAAAGTCATCTGGAAGGACACCAAGGCCTCGCTCCCACTGCCCACCCAGAGTGGAGAGGCAGCAGAGCACGCCACGTGGGTCTGCCTGCCACCCTCAACAGGTGCTTCCGCACCTTCCCCCAGCTGCTCACCCACCTGTCCAGACCCAGTCCCGACAGCTCTTCCTTCCAGCCACCGCTCTCCCCTTCTCCTCTGTTGTCACTGCCCCACAACCCCTCAGAGACCTGAGGGATATTCCCAGAACCCTCTGAGGAGGAATCTAAGAGGTCTTTCTGGACATCCTGGACCATCTAGAACACAGCCCTCTTCTACTGAGGGGTCTTAATTGAACTCACCCAGCACATAAGCAGGCAGCTTAACTGAGCATCCTGCAGACCCAGGCTGGAGTTGAGCCCAGGCTCTGAGCAGCAGGGTGTCCATACAGAGATTGGAAGTAGGCGGTGAACCTCTGAGCCAGTGTTGCCCGAGGCCTCCTGTGTCTCCTCAGAGCCGAGACCTGAATACTTAAGGTCTTTCAGCTCCAGGTGACTCCTCCCACACTGCCAACACTGCCTATGCCTGGCCTGGCCCTTACGAAGTGGACCAGGACTGGTCCTCGGGAAGTCTGGTATGGTGCCTCAGAATGGCGCTGGTCACTCACCCAAGAATTCCTGCTTCTCGCTCTCGGTGCAAAGGCCATAGCAACGTGGGAAGAAGGTGTTAGGGTTGGCCTGGACGTACCAAGGCAGGCTTCTCATGTTCACACACAGCCCAATCTCCAGAGAGAGCAGTGCATTAGGGACCTCAGTGGGCAGCCTCACACAAAGTGAACTCCACTGGGACCCGTGGCTTTGACTTGACCCATGTTCCCTAAGAAGGGGGTTTCCATGGCATGAGAGTACCCAGAGTGGGGAGAACAGGGGTGCGTGCGGGTGGGCATACGGGACAGGAGGCAGCAGGTGTTTGGGGGAAGAGCTGGAACCTGAACAGTCCCTGTAGTTTTCAGGGGCCCACCCCCTCGGATGAACCCCTGGGCGGAGCCTCCCATCCACCTTGGTGGTGAATGATGCTGTCTTCCCGTAGTGGTTCAGCATCTGGTCACAGGTCAGGCTGTGATAGTCCACAACGTCCCTCTTGATAGTCCAGAGGAGGTATGGTATCTCGTTCTTTACCAACCTGGACTGGCAAGAAGAGCCCTCTATCAACATCCCCTCTATCAACATCCAGCATGCAGGAATCTATTCCATTGAGGTGCTGGGGACCCAGCTGAGAACTGGGCGGGGGGGGGGGGGCAGAAGCTAGACTATACTCTGCTATACTCTGATAATTATGGCTGATGGTTCCATCTTAGCAGAAGTCACATGGCTCCAGAGGGCTCGATGTGTTGGTATGGGGACAACCCCAACCACATGGGGTGTCTGCTGCCCAGAAGCCAGCTGCTTTTCTTGACTTGGGGCTGAAGGAAAACAGGAACTCTTCCCACCCTGGTGTTTAGGTGGGACTCAGAGACACGCTAACTGTTGCCTGGAGATGAATGTGGTACTCTGGAGCCTGGGAGAGTGGTCCAGAGGATGCTTACTGCCAGAACCCCTAGGAGGCAGCTTCTTCCCACTGGATCTGGCACTCACAGCAGAATAAACTAGATGAAGTGCACAGCCAGCTATAAAAATGGAATTAACCCCATAAACATAATGTGCTTATTGAGCGCCTGTGAGCTAACTCTCTGTCCATTTTGTTTGTTTGTTTTAGCACTGATTTATGAGATCTCACACAGAGACATTTTGGACACATCTGTTCTTTTTAAATTACATGTATGCAAAGACGTCCACTCTGCGACTAACCTTCTTGTCCTCTTTATAGAAGATGTAGGAGAGCTTTAGAGGAGCCAGGCTAGGGGTGAATGGGGTACAAGGGCTGCGTTACTGGAGACCCCATCTGTTCACTGGCCAGGCCCCTTCTGCCTCCATCCTGTAATGCATAGACCCTCAGCCCAACCACTCAGCACCTCCTTGTCCACAGTCACACCGGCCTTTGCTCATGTTAGTCGGTGTGAGATGCAGGAGCTGGGAGCAGGATGCGGGAAAGGCAGATGCCTAATGTTCCCATACGGGCGTCTCACTCTACCCTCTGTCTAGTGTGCTCTGTCTTAGAAAGGCCATGGTACACCCTAGTACCAGGCCACAGGGCCTACCATCACATCATGAATATCATCTAATCTCTCCAAGGGTATTTCTTGATTTTCTTTGGTCTCTGCACCTTTATTATCTGCAGGCAAAACATAAGAAAGACATTAAAGCCATTGATAAAGGACTTGTTTCTACTGCATGTACTAGCTTTTTGGGACCCTAGTCTATTTGGATGCAAAGCTTCCTAGGCCTGGATGTAGGGAGGGAGGGCCTTGGACTTCCCACAGGGAAGGGTTCCTTTCCCTCTCTTAAGGAGGGAGAGGGAGGGAGAAGGGGGAGTGGAAGGAAAATGGGAAGAAGGGAGAAAGTGTAAATTTTTGAATGGAAAAATAAAAAAAAATTAAAAAAAGAAAGACATTACTGCCACTGTATTCTGGGACCTCACCAGACTCCCTGCAGCGTTGGGGTCCCACTATTGAGGAATGACCCCTGGGGTGGCAGGTAATCTCTGAGGGCAATGCTGTAGAGGCCACCTATGCCCATCCCTCTAACATCCTGTGCAGCACCCCACATAGGCTGTCATAGGTCAGGATTGAGGGGTGCTGCAGGCTAGATGAGTCTTAGCAGAGGCTGAGGCATGAGTCTTAGGAGGACCAGCCTGAACTATGGGAACTTGAGGAAAGGCCTTGGTGGGGAAAGGAGCTGGAGGATGAACGGCTAGGACCGCGTGAACACGGGGACACCGAAAAGTGACTGGCACTAGGGTAGGAGTGTGGCTGCCTGGGATGTGTGAGTTTGGGACAGAGGTGGAAACATGAAGGGAGCCAGTGAGTGTGTAGAGCCACCACACCAAGGATGGCTGACGTACTGATGACAACATCTACAAACTCCTACATGCGACAAGGTGAGTCTGATACTCTGCCCACGCGCCCTTTACCTTCGCTCTCAACACTCTGAAGAACTTTGGGCAGGAAATGAAACTTCTTCTCCACCCAGCCCTTTTTTCGCAGTGCGGCCCGGATGACAGGGTAGTGCCCATAGATGGAGAAAATCTTCTTTTCCTAAAAACAGCAGGGTTTTAGCTGAAGCGCTCGGCAACGAGGGAAACGAGTCAACCAGAGGAGAGTTTCCAAAGTGGGATGGAACAGACTATACCATGGAAGACAGCATAGCTTACCCAGAGGACACAGGAACGTCTTCAGCAAACAGAGGTGTGTGTGTGTATGTGTGTGTGTGTGTGTGTGTGTGTATGTATACATGTGTGCACACGTGTTGGGGTTCGAAGACGTAGCCCCCACAGTTGCTGCTTGTGTGTATTTATCATTGGGTTAGGATTACAGAGGCAATCCTCTTTACACACTCATTCACACACTCAGACACACAAAAAGGAGCCAACACACAACCAAGAAAGCCGACACTTCCTGAGCAGCTATCATAGTGGCCCCCACTCAGGAGCTCTGGACTCAGAACAAAGATGGAATACATAGCTATGCAATGCCTGCAGGTCTAGAGGATAACCGAGGGACTCCCTGTGTGGCTTTCTTCTATACAAGAGGGTCCTGGCTAGTTTTATATCAACTGGACACAAGCTAGAGTTATCTGGGAAGAGGAAGCTCGGTTGAGAAAAAGCCCCCACCAGACTGGCCTGTGGGCAAGCCATGGGCGTTTTCTTGGTTAACAATAGATGTTGGAGGGTCCAGCCCACTGTAGATGGTAGGTGGAGCTAGAAAACATCATTTCGAGCAAGGTAACCCAGACACAGAAAGACAATTATCACATGTACTCACTCAGAGGTGGTTTTTAAAGATAAAGCAAAGAAAACCAGTGCACAAATCACAATCCCAGAGAACCTAGACAACAATGAGGACCCTAAGAAAGACATACATAGATCTAATATACATGGGAAGTAAAAAAAGACAAGATCTCTGGAGCAAATTGGGAGCATGGGAACCTTGGGAGAGGTTTGAAGGGGGGGAGAGGCAGGGAGAAGAGCAGAAAAAAATGTAGAACTCAATAAAAATCAATAAAAAATCAAAAAAGGAAGAAAGAGAGAGAAAGGAAGGAAGGAAGGAAGGAAGGAAGGAAGGAAGGAAGGAAGCAGGCTGAACAAACCATAGGAGCAAGCCAATGAGGAGTGTGCCTCTGCTTCAGTGTCTGCCTGCAGGTTCCATCTTTGGCTTCCTACCCTGAATTCCCTAAACGATGGTCAACAAACCTGTAATATGAAATGGACCTTTTCCTCTCTAAGTTGTTTTTAGTCACGGTGTCTTATCACAACAGAAGAAACACTAAGGCCAGAGAGCATGCCTCGTATTTCTACAAGAGCTGTGGGTGCCTGAGGTTGGAATGGCAGAAAGGAAGAAGCTAATGGTCAATGGAGGAAGGGGCAGGGCCAGCCTAGAAGCTGCTGGAATCCTGAGTCATCACTTGGAGAGGGTTAGCTACTTGTGGATGAGCAGGTGGCTGGCAGCTAGAGGGAGGAGTAAGCTGTACTACCTCAGTTTTCCCAGCTGAGGGCAAGGTCAGGGAAGGAACTGCCATTGACAGGACTTGATGGTGACTTGTCCCCCAAAGGCTCAGGTGCTTGAGGCAAGGTCCCCAGCATGGGGGTAGAGTGGGGACGCGCCTCACACAGTGAGCGGTTATGAAAGTGAGCCAAATCCCCATCTCCCTCTGGTCTCCTCCATGCGTGTTCTCCCTCCCACACGCATGCTTCTGACGATGCCATCTGCCACTTCTGCGACACAGCCAAACAGGTGGGGCTGCTCAAGCTCTGGCTTCAGCCTTTAAAACTGGGTGGCAAATACATCTCTTTTCTTAATAAAAGACACAGCTGCGGGTATTTTATGTAGCTGCGGGAAAGAAGCTGGTATTCATATGGGCACCTAAGTGAAGGCAGTGACAGGGCCTGTACTGTCACTAGCTGGGTCAGGGATGAGCAGAGCCAGCTGGAGTCAGGCAGGAGGACCGGCTCAGAGCCACTGGAGTCCTGCAGCAGGGTGACAGGACATCAAACCACAGTCCCTGGCATCATCCCACAAATGTGACTGGGTTTTGCAAATGTCACTGAGGTCCTAACCTCATCAGGAAGTCCCTAATGGAGACTTGAAGCTCAGAATGTCCCCCACTGAGAGCTGTAAAAAATACCACAGGGGAGGGATTTGGCTGACTATCAAAGAGCTGAAAGCAGATAGACACTCGGGAAGTGACCTTAGGCAGTCTGAGATCTTGAGGTCAGCACACCAAGGTATCACCAAAGCCCAGACTCTGTCTCAGAGACAGAGAGACAAGCTGAGCCCAGAGTCCATCCCAAACGGAGGTAATCTGAATTCGGACCTTATCACAGAGACCCAAGATAGAAACACAAGCTGGACTCAGATTCCATCACAGAGACATCAATGGAGACAAGCTGAGCCTAGATCCTGCCACACTGAAGTGTGTGCGTATGTGTGTGTGTGTGTGTGTGTGTGTGTGCATGTACATATATGTGTTCTGCACCCTATATGGGTTAAAAGTAATTTCATTTATTTACTCTTCCCCAACATAGTATTTTATTGATTATTTGGAACTTTCACATAATGCACCCCATCATACTCACTGCCCAGTCCTCCCAGGTCCATCACCACCTTTGTGACCTCTCCACCTCCCAAAAAGTCCAATTTGTGTTGCCCATATAGTCACTGGAGCATGGTCAAACTCCCAGTGCAGTCCCTTAAAGAAAACTGAGTCCTTCCCCTCCATCTCCGCCAGAAGCCACCGGATGTTTAAGAGTTCTCTTCGATGGCTTCCTGTCTAGGCCGTTATTATTTTAGGGTGCTGGGGTGGGAATGGGGTTGTCACAGAAGCCTTCTATGTCTCTCTTTCTCAGCCATGAATCTGCAGTCACCCAGAGCACTGCAAAAGAAGCTTCCTTGCCCTTTACAGTCAACAGGAGCATGGATCATGGACTTCCACATGGTTTCTGGTGACAGCTTGAACCACGGACATCTACATGGCTTCTGGCATGTTCCATGGACCTCAGCACGGTCTATGGTGGCAGCACAAACCATAAACAGCAACACAGTTCTCTGCTACAGCATGGGCCACAGACACCAATATAGTTCCTGGTGGCATCCCTGTCACAGACATCAACATGGATTCAGGCAGTAGCATGAACTGTGGACATCCACATAGCCTCTGTCAGCGATACACACCATGGACCTTGACATGATCTCTGGTGGCAGCACAGACAATGGACACTGATACAGTCCTGGCCACAGCATGGGCCACAGACACCTTCATGGCCCTCAGTGGCAGGGTAGGCCATGAATATCAACATGGCCTCCCCTGGCAACATGGCTACAGACACCAGCATGGCCCCTGGTGGCATCACGGCTCATGGACATCTACATAGTTTCAGGTGGCAGCACATGCGACAGACATCCACGTTGCCTTTAGTGGTAACATGAACCATAAACACCAACATGGCTTCAGGCAGCAGCACAGACCACAGACACCATCATGGTCTTTGGCGGCAATACTGACCACAGACATCAACATGGCCTCCAGTGGCAACATGGCCCTGACACGGTTTCTGGTGGCAGTTTGTAGTGCTATTTTCTATAGATATGTTTGTGTTGCTAGGCAACACACCTAACTTTGTCCTACCGGAAGATCTGACCCTACCCAAGAGCATGCTCAGGAGATACCTGGAACTAAGTCCTGACACTCACAGGAGATATGTGGGCCAGAGGGCCCCACTAAACTGCCATGCATTGCTGTATAAGTTCACAGGGAACAAGGAGGAGCTGGCTGCCAACAGGGGCTAATCAAGAAACTCAGACAAAGTCAAAAGTAATCCTGGCACCATCTCCATACAGGAGGAAGTCATCCAGTCAGGTCAATGCCCAAAATGAAATTTCAAACTAATTTCCCATTTTTTATAAACAGTATCCCCACCCACGAGTATGGAAACACATTTACCTTGATGGCCTTTTCTGTTAATTGTCTTGCTATTTTGTATCTGTCTAATTTGGGGGAAGAAGACAAATCTTGGGGAACTTCTTGTTTTAATTCTGCAAGAGACAAACAGACATCAAGGCAAAGAACAGTCATCCAGCCTGACAGTGGACACACGGGGAGGCCTCATTACCACCTGCCTCTCCCCACTCTGCTCCCCAGTCCCCTGCGGTTCTCAATCGTCTATGCCCTTGCAACCTTGCGTGAGTCTTTGACCCACCTCCGCCCCAAGTGCTCTCCTCCTCCCTGCCTGTCCCAGGCCACTCTGGCATTGGGTAGTCTTTTTCATGGTGTTGTTGTCATTTGTTGCTCACATTTTTTAGACAGAGTCCCTTTCTATAGCCTTGGTTGTCCTGGAAGTCACTATGTAGACCAGGTTGGCCTAAAAATCACAACGATGCACCTGTCTCTGCCCCCCAAGTGCTGGGACTAAACATGTCCACTACCATGCATTGGGTAGTCTTGATCCTCTCTAGATCTAGATCACACATGTCTAATGTGTGGCAAGAGAGGATACAGCCTCCCACTATCTCCCCCTGAGTCCATGGCTTTTATTCAGTGGCTATCCTCCTCCACGGAGCAAAGGCCCCCAACGTCTCCCTTTCCTCTGGATGTCCTCCCTAACATCAACATCTCCCTTGGCAACCTTTTGATGCCAATCATTCCCAAGGGCACATGCCACATAGCACAATGTCCTGGGCCAATTTTTGGTCCCCCAGTATCGGCTGGGTTCCCATAGGGTATGCCTGCAGTGTCAATGAATCTTCCCTCCAGGAAGCAAGGCTATTGGTTGACAACATTCCCCTCCCCACACCCCTTGTTGCTTCCCCTTCTCTCTCCATGCCCTAAACGTGAACTCGTGTGTGTGTGTGTGTGTGTGTGTGTGTGTGTGTGTGTGTGTGTGATTTTTCAAAACAGGATTTCTCTGCATAACATCTGTGGCTGTCCTAGAACTTGCTTTGTAGACCAGGCTGACCCCAAACTCAGAGAGATCCACCTTCTTCTAACTCTACCTCCCAAGTGCTGGGGTTAAAGGTGGGCACCACCACACCTGGCTAAATATAGTCTTCACAGTACATTTCTACGGCTTCCCTGAAATGTACAGATTCCTCCCAGACTACCCTGATCGCCAAAGAGCTTCAGGGAACATCAGTCCAATGCTGCCTACCTGTTCTTCCTGCGGCTCTCTTCACCCTAAATCCACAGGTACCAGATACATGACTTAAACTAGCGCACAGAGCAACTTGGGGGTGGTGGTGGTGGTGGTGAAGGACTGTACGCCCACGTAGGAAGGGCAAACCCTAACTGCCACAAGATGCTCAGGGTTTATTCTGAAGCGTGTGAAAGCCACACAAAGTTCCTAGCAGAACACACAGGAGGAAAACATTGCAACCTCACCTATGCACAGAAAATAGAAGTTGGAATTGGTAAGTCTGGAGCTGTTGAAACGTGAGTGTTCTAGAGCTGGGGCTACAGTTCAGTTGGTACTATGCCTCCCTTGCAAGCGGGAGAGCATGAGCCCTGTCGCCAGCACTGACATATAATGTCCATGCATTTGTAATTCCACTGGGAATTACAAGAGGATCCCTGCAGTTTGCTGGCCAGCTAGTCTAGCCCATCAGTGAGCCCCAAGTCCCAGGGAGAGACTTTGCTTCATAACAAGGTGGCTAGCTCCTCAGGAATGATACCCAAGGTTGAACTCTGGCCTTCGCCATGTGTATGTGCACACAAATGTGTACACAAGAGTACATGGCATGCACAAACATGAAAATGTTCTGCTTTATTAAGAAAATGATGCCGGGTGGTGGTGGTGGTGCACACCTTTAATCCCAGCACTTGGGAAGCTGAGACAGGCGGATCTCAGTGAGTTTGAGGTTAGCCTGGTCTACAAACCAAGTTCCAGGACTGTTACACAGAGAAACCCTGTCTCAAAAAACCAAAAATAAAAAAAAAAAAGAAAGAAAATGAAAAGGCAAACCGTAGACTGGGAGCAATATTTACAAATATGCTACTTGGACACAAAAAGGTGTAGAGTGATGGGCTCCATTCAGACAAGCCCTGACCAGAGCTCCCAAAGTCCTCTATGAATGTGGAGACCATAATAGGGGATAGGACGGGGTACAAGAGCAAGTCCGTAAAGATGTTCAATAATGCCTCTAAATGCAAGGAGCAGAGGTTATCAAACAAGAAGAAACCCCTAAGTCTGTAGTCAGAGTTAGCGCATGGCTTTCATTAGTGGATGGAATGAACAGAGGTCACGGGAACAGGCATGACTGGCAGCACCTCACAGTTCGCTCGATGCTGAAACAGTCGTTATTGTTCTAGGATAGTCGTTAAAGTTCATCTTAAACTCTAGGCTGATTTTAAAGGGCTTGAAAGTCATAAAAATTCTCCTGACCACAGAGCAATGAAGTCAGAAATAAGTGTAAAAAATAACAGAAAACTACTGAATATGTGTAGATTAGCAAATGTACTTCTAAATAATCTGTGGGTCAGGAAAAACAATCCAAGATGCAGAGGTCTTTTAGCTGTTTAACCAAAGACAACTGAAACACCAGATTTCAAAACTGGTGTGATATAGTTAGTTAGAGCTGTGTCCATAGAGAAATTCCCAGGGCTGGAGAGATGGCTCAGTGGTTAAGAGCACATACCGCTCTTCAAGAGGACCTTCAGATGGCTCCTGGCCGCCTGATGCATCAAGGAAGGTTCCTCTCACCTTTCATCCTACACAACTCTTGCCGAGAGGAGAAGCATACCCACAACCTGCCCTGTCTGTGGTGCCTGAATCCTGCCTAGTTACGACTGGAAAATGAGATCACAGGCTTATTGGCCATAGGTGAAACAGAAGATCAAACAGAAGAGTTGAGCAAATTCTGGCTACATGTGAAGGTGCTATTACCACCAGGGGGGCCTCCTGTGTTGGACTTGAAACCGTGATCAGGATGTAAAATACATGAAAAAATGTAATTAATAAAAAAATAAAAATAAAATAAAATCAAAAAAGTCAATATTGTCATGGGCCACACGAACAAAATGAAGAAAAGTCACACCATAGATAAAGAGATTGAGAAAAGTCACACCATAGATAAAGAGATATTGATAAATAAAACAGAGAAGTCTCTAAGGAAAACTAGCTTTCATTCCGGTTTAATAGATACAGGAACCATTAATGAAATCCCAATAGCTAGTTCTCCTAGGTATAGAAACACTGTTTATAGGAGCCAGAGAGGTTCCCCGAGGGGTTAAGAATGCTTGCTGCTCTTATTAGTGTTCAATTTCAGCGTACATTATCCCATGGCTCACAACCACCTATAACTCCAGTTCCAATGCCCTTTTCTAGCCTCTGCCAACAGCACTTGTAGACACATACACACATTCACGTAATTCGAAAGTTTAAAGAAAAAAAATCACTACTAAAAATGAATTTCCATTCAGGCTTAAATCTCTTGGCTTGGCTCTGTGGGAAACACAGAACCTGGCTCCAATCCTGGTGTTTTGGTTTCTTTCTTGGTTGCTTTTCCTGTTGCTATGATAAAATACCCCAACAAAAACAACTTAAGGGGCAGAGGGAGGATTTATTTTAGTTCATACTTCCAGGGTGGAAACCATCGTGGTGAGCCTAGCACACTGCATGTGATGTCAAGCTGAGAGTGACAGATGCCATAGTTGTTTAGCTTTCTCTTTTTTATACAGTTCAGGGAACCCAGGGAAGGAAGTCACCCATGGATAGGATGTGTCTTCCCATTTCAGTAAACGTGATCAAGACACTCCCCTCACAGGCATGCCCAGAGGCTACCCCAATCTACATAATTCTTCACAGTTGTGCCTCACTGAAGACTTGCCTCCTAGGTGACGCCAGGTCATGCCAATCTAACAACCAAAACTAATCATTAGTTTTCAGTTGTTATAATACTCCAAGTCAGGAAGGACAAGGTCACTCACTGGAGGAATGGGGTCAGGAGAGACTGACTACCAGCGATTTCAGGTATCCTGGGGGCGTTTAGAGACCAGCACATGGTCGGAGATGACCCAGTTGGCAAAGTGCCTGCCACCCAGCATGAGGACTGGGGTTTGGATCTCCAATAACCATGTAAAAAAACTGGGTGCAGTCATAAATTTCTGTAATCCTGACTGTAAAAGATGGAGACAGGCAGGTCTGGAACCTGCTTGGTAGCTAATTGGCAGTCTAGCCAATCAGTGATGAGTCCTGGCCACAACGATAAAAAGAATGACAAGGGCTCCTGCTCATCCACCTTTCTCCCAATCTCAAGGATGGGGTGCTGAGTGATAGTAGAAGGCATACAATAGCAACCTCTGGCCTTAATGTGCATACACACACACACACACACACTCTCATACACATGTACACGCACGCTCATACACTCTCACACACACACTCACTCATACACATACACACACGCGCATACACACCCATATACACATTCCCACATGCACACACACACTCATACACACTCTCACACACTCACGTTCACACATATTCACACTCATACACACTCATACATACACACATATGCACATGCAAATGTTCCAAAAGAATCTATCTATGTGCACATTAATAAAACTAATAAGCGATTTCTTAAAAAAAAAAAAAAGACTACCAGGCTACAGCCAAAAGACCCAGAGGCAGGGTGGAGACAATAAATAATCCCCTGGGGCATCGCAATATGTGACACACACACAGACTGAGTACAAGTTCAGCCAGCCAGCCAGGTTCAATAGGTAAAATCACTTGCTACAAATACCTGGAAACTGGAATTTCAACTCTGGAACCCATGTAAAGGTGTGAGCCTATTAGTTTTTGTCAACTTGACACTAACTAGAGTCCTCTGGGAAGAGGGAACCTCACCTCTATCAGACTGGCCTGTAGTCAAGTCTGTGTCTGTGGGAGTGTTTTCTTTTAAGAGCATATTAAAAAATTATGTATATGGATGTTCTGCCTGCACATATGTCTATATACCATGGAGTGTGTGTGTGTGTGTGTGTGTGTGTGTGTGTGTGTGTGTGTGCAGTGCCAAAAGAGGCCAGTTAAGATGTC